TTCCAAGACTGAGTGATGGTATCTTCTTGTATCCGCAGCTTTTGTGCTCTATCTATTGTAAACATCATTCCAAGTTGTTGCAGGGAATTCTCGTAAGCTTTTTTTGAGTCTTCTCATGGCTTCTGAGCTTTTTTCATTCAGATTATTAGCAAAGGCCATAGTCGCCCAATTATCAGGTACACGTGGCAACATCATCCTTTCACGCTGGAATCTGTCTACGAATTCCTTGAGCAGTTCCGTATCTCCTTGTTTTATTTTGTAAATGTCCTCAATTCTTTTTTCAACTTTTTGAGCTCCCGAGTGTGCTTTGATAAATGAATATGCAAGCTCAGCAAAAGAATTAATAGAATTTTCAGGTAAAATAGAATACCATGTTAACGCTCTCTTCGTGAGTGTTTCTCCAAATTTTTTGACCAACACCGATTCAATTTCTTGCTTGGTCAAATCGTTGCCCTTTACATCAGTTGTAAATGCAGTCATGTGATCCCGTGGAACAGTTGTTCCATCGTACTTCGGGATATCATGCATCTTGAATTTCTTCGAAATTGGTAAAGGAGCGGCACTTGGCTTCCAAGGTTGTTGAGAGTATTTTTCCATATCTATCCCCTTGATTACGGGCGGTACTCCAGGTATTTGCTCTATGCGATCGCTCTGTTCCTTGAGCTGTTTCTGCAAAGTTAGTACTAAACTTTGTAAATCAGAACTAACTGGGTTACCTGACCCTCTATCACGAGATTCGCTGGGAGTTCCTCCGCTGCCTGAATTAACGAGTCCCAAGCGCGGATTCTCTATGGTCGCAGTGTTGTTTGGAGGTGGAGTTGGTGATACGGTTGGCAGCCCACTAACAAAAGCTTGAAGAGCATTGCTAACTTGTTCTGCAATTAATTGTTTCAATGCTGCATCGATATCTTGACCGTCCCCACGCTGGTCATTCATATGCGATTCAGATCTATCAGGTGTCCCTTCGCGAGACTGTCAAGGAGAGTTTCGTGGTGAGGAGATTGGAGTTCCATCTCCTTGTTGATTTTGCTGATTCAACTGTTGTTGTTGATTTTGTTGGTTGTTGTCGTTAACGTTCGACATAATTGTTTTGACAAAAGAATTGATTTAGAAAGTAAAAGAATATCCGATTCCCGGTAACGGAACCAATTTGTTTAACCAAAAAATAGGAATTTTGGTCAAAGCGTATTTTTAGAAGAACTCGGGTTACTGATAATCAAATAAAGAAATAATTGTATAACGAGAAAGGAAAATTAGACTGAGAAGTAGCCGAGTAAACAATATAAAGCAATGTAAATAAGTATATTCCAATAATAATCAGTGTCCATACAAATGTTACTTCTCTCCCTTTTATAGCTATTTCCAAGTACAACATTTCTTTCCTCTCATAATAGAGCCATTATGAGCATTTAATGACATTAATAAAACATTATAATTAGCAATCGTAACGGTTTCGTGAAGATTCTATAACGTTTCCTATCATTTAAGCTCATTAATTGTAGATATTACGAATCTGTACTTTTTGCTGGCCCGAGTGACCGTTCTTTCTTGTCTTCATGGTACTTCTCTCGTACCTGTTAAGACTCGCGTCTCTTTAAGTACTCTTTGCCAGCTGTCACTCTTCTAATAATCCATGTATCTTGACATGTCAGCCAATTAATTTCAAGTGTAATATCTATTTTTTCCCAATACAAGTATGTATGCAAATTTTATTCCTATCCGGGGTAGAGTTGTTTTTTATTTCAAAGGATACAAAGAATTAAAAGAGTCTAATGAAAAAAATAAGTAAAGAGGAAAGGCAGTACGACCTCGTATACGTATTAATTTTCTTTAAATTAATTTACACGAGCTTTTTCCAATGTTTTGAGTGTTGCTCTTTTTCTAGAAAAAATATTTTTTAACTTAAGAAATATCAAACAATACACAAATAATACGCAGTACTGATCCCGGCAGTTCCGCTAATCTTCCTATAAATTTCATTCCTAAAAAACCCGGCAAAACATAGTTTATTATATAGTGTTATTAAAACGTTCTCTCTATCCTAAACACTCCGATGCAGAGTTCCTTATTATTAAGTGCTAAAATATCAACTACTAAGTATTACAAGGAAAATTATGATGCACTCGAAGTAGTGATTGTCCACTATGAGAATAATGCTTATTTAACTTTTTTCTAGTAGTCCAATAAATCTCATTTTATACCCATTAAATCTAAACTATTTATCCTTAAATACCCAAACCTAAACAATCTACTTTTCCTACCTATGCAGTTAATACTATTTACCCGGCCCACATGGTTTCTTGATACCGGATCCAAGTCACATTAGGAAGATCTGTGATTTGGCTTATTTACTTCCTTTTCTTGATAAGAACATTTTTTCACTTTTCTCCACTTTTAATTTATCCCTAACGTGTTTAGCCAACAATGACATATATAAAAAGACTGTCAAGCATGCACAGGCTTTCTTCTTCAAAGTTTTAATTTCGTCCCATATTTTCTTGTCGTCACCTAATTAAAACTGAAAGAGCACAACCACGAGGGACCTTTTCCAAAGCTGTGATGTTAACTTCTTGCCTTTTTCTCTATCAAATTGACCGTCTCGGTTATGGTAGCGATTTATGTATATATACACAGAATAAATAATATCTTCTATGACTAAAATTTAAATAGGAATAAAAGCGACAATACTTGCATATAAGACTAAAAGGCTCTAATAAATATTACTATTACTTACATCAATTAATACTACTATTTGTTAATAACGTTTACTTCTAAATACAACAACTGCTAACTATTAATTATCATTTATTATCTATAAAATTATTTACGAACAAAATTTAAACAAGAAAGGAAGGTGAAACAACCTATATTACTCCTCTTTTTTCTCTCTCTATATTGAATGCTTTTTTGTGTTTTATGTTATTCATATAGAATTTCACTTAATTATACAATTATTTTCTTTTTTACTTTTTCTGTATGTATATACGTCTTATATTATATATTTGTTCTTTTTATTTTTGATATTATGTGTGTATGAAGACCCACCATTGTTGAGCTTGAAGCTCCAGAATTTTTGTAATTTTATTTTGAAGATTTATTGTTTGATTTGATGTGGGTGCTATAAAATATTGCTTATAGTATCTTCGAGTAAGCTTCCCAAATCTAAATTTTTATGTGTATTTGAATATCCACCATTGTTGGGCTTGAAGCTCAATTTTATTTTTGAAGATTTCTTGTTTGATTCAAAGTGGGTGCTGTTAAATATTGCTTATAGTACCTTTTAGAAGTTCATACTGAAATTTGATAGCATTTGGAGCTGATTTGAGGTGATTGAGATCGACATTTTCAGCTGAAAATCGAATAAGAACACAACTACCCAATAGTATACCGCTACGGTATACAATATGTTATAGGAGTATATAGCTATACTGCAACAGTATACTATTATAGTTTAAAATATACTGCAATGGTATATTGTAATAATCGAAGAAGAACACAGTTACCTAATAGTATACCGCTACAATATACAATATACTATAGGAGTATATAGTTATACTGCAACAGTATACTATTCTAGTATACAATATATTGTTATAGTATACTGTAATAATATGCAATATACTGTAACAGTATGTTGTAATAGTATACAATATACTATAATAGTATACTTATTACCCGTAAATTCACTTGCCTTTTCCCTTTTAATTTGCTTTAAGCTTTTACCCAACGTGAGAGGCAAATTGAAAATGCAAAAAAAAATTAAAAAATTATAGTATGCTATATAATGTAACGATATACTCTTACAATTAGATCCTTTAGAATTTTTTTGAAATATTTGTTGACAACTGATATTATTTCAGTTTAATAATTAAATTAAATTTCTTAACTCTTTGCGTACAATTGTATACCTTGTTGGTATAGCTATATACTATACTGGTATCATATGTTAGTTAATATTTTTTGGTTGTATTAGNCTCTTCCGATCTAAAAAATAGTGAAAACAGTAAATGAAATTAGATTATGAATAGAAAAAGAATATAAAAAAAGAAGTTAAATAAAATTAGAAAATGAAAAAAGAAAAAAATAAGAGAAAACGAGAAAAAAGAAAAGGAGAAAAGAAAAAAAAAAGAAGCATAAAAATAAAAAGAATTGGAGAATAAAGAAAAAATTCCCCACAAAAACTACTATGGGTAGAAAATATAATTAGTTTATGGGTAGAAAAATAAATGAGTAGACAAGAGTAAATAGTTTTGTTTTTGTGGGTAACTGTGTCATTCTTCCAGTTTTATTAGTATTTAGATATTGTAGCACATTATGCGTAACAACGTAGGGGCCTAGTGTGAAAGAGCACAATTGGGTTGAGACATAACTGGCCCAGGGCCGTCCACTTGCAAAACAGATGGGCTTGAATTGAGAGCCCTGACCGGCCATTTGTGGTCATGTTTTTTTGGAAATTAGCCAGTCCTAGAATTTCAAATTCACAAGTGAAATTATATGACGATATTCTAGATTTCACTTGCATAATTTTAAGCTAGCGTTTGAACATAATTGGAACTTGAAACATGAATTTTTGAGGTGAGATGAAATACAATTTTTGAAAGTTAAAATTGCATTTGGACATGCATTTTACTTGAAAGAAATTAAATGTTTTATGAGTAGAAAACTTCAATAACTACTCCAGAACTCTTTTTGGGATTTGAAGATTTTGTTTTAAAAATCTGCCAAAAAATGGTCTAAATCTATACACAAGATATTTAAAATTAAAATTTGGAAAAAAGCTCCCAAATTTTATGGCCAAACGGGAGCTAAATTTCATGACAACAGTTATCTTTAAATAACAAGAGCTGAAAAGTGGCTATTCGTGAATTTTAACTCCCACCCCCCCCCCCCAACCCCCCACCTCCCCCCACCCAACCAAATTGCTTGTTCTAATGTCCATCTTTATGCTTGAGGTAAGTGCGAAATGCTTCACTTTGCTGCTACGCATCTACAACAATACGGCTTTAACAATCTTCTTACTTCTAAATTATAAACTCCACAAAGTACATAATGTGTCAGTCTCCAAAACAAATGCTTACAAAGGCTTGGTTTACTATCTTACAAAAGAATACCATCCTAACTTACTGCTGCAACTTTCTGCACTATGTTATAATCTCAAGCTAAAACAATGACTAATATGTTACAACAATAAGATGGCTCAATAAATTACAACATGAATCAACTAAAATACTCCACAAAACAAGCTCAAAGAAATGACACCACCATTCGAACAGCAGGTCTGCAAGAAAAGCATGTCCAAGTGTACATTTTGGTCAAGGCTTCTTCAAGAATCCATTCCAAGCTTCATATACAAGGTGACCTCGACTAGTAGCCTTTTCCCAAAATTGTGCTCGTAGGAAAACTTTCCTCCCAATTGTAAAGCTCGACATTTCTGAGCTTAAAGAAGAATTCTCATTCCACAAAAAAAATAAATCAAGCATCAGTTACGGATACAACTTCAACTTTTGCGATCAAGATCTAGAATCGATAGCCACGAGATCAACTCAGCGGAAATAGTTTGAATCATTCAACATTATGTAATGTCCATTCTCCATAACCTTTATATCTTCGCCATCATACCACGATATATTTCCTGCATAAACCAATGTATTATAAGCACAAACCTGTAGTAAAATTTGAGTAGAAAAATGATATTGAGGCCTCAATTTGGACTTCAAAGTACAGTAGCTTTTAAAGAATCACTTCTAAAAAGTAAAGTCCAGTCTCAACTCAAAAAGGTCATCAGTCCCAACACCAATGTAAGGTACCTATGTGCCACATGGGCAACAATGTAAAAACACGTGATCTTTTGGGACACCAAGTACCCAAAATCAGAAGGGCATTTGAATCTGTACACCTGAATTGAGCAAAGTAGGAACAGCTAATCTCACTATCTCACATATGCAACTTTGTAAAAACACATACTCCCTTCGTGATCTAGCCCCATTGGCCATCACAAAAAGAAAAATCATTATCAAAAGTCGAGTAAAATAAAGCAGAATACCAGGCTCGATTATTTTATCAGTGTTTACTTACTATCTCCGCTGAAATCAGAAAATTACAAAAACAAAATTTAGCAGTATCGAGAAATTTGTACACTAAAATAAGTCAGATTGACCTGAAGCAGGAGATATCAGATAACTACACCTAAGTCAAAATATGCTTTCAAGTGTTGCAGATAGAATGAGCCAATTCTTTAGTGTTGGCAGATTTTAGCTTGCATAATATCAAGGATATATACATTGATATGAGAGGCCTACAGCATCTAAAGGTGGGGTGCATGCTGCAACTTCAATTTTTACCTGGTGTAGTTGCTGGTTCCTGTTCTCTAGTCACATGAAGTACGACTGTTCCTGAAAGTACTGTGATAAATCCACATATCTCAGATACTATACTGCTAGCATCTTGTCCAGCCCAATCCTGCAGAGCAATATCATAAAGCAAATGATGGGTTCGCATTTTACTCCGTAAACATATTGAAGGAGGACCACAATTAAGAATAGCTTAATTGACAACATACCTTGAACATTATTGCGCTTGCCATGATGGTCAAAGTGGTGAACATTACATAATATATTGGAGAAACAATTGCAGCATTGAATGTATCCAGTGCCTATCCAAATGATGCATAAACGTCAGAAAATGGTTCAAACACCCAAAAGAAAAGCAATGTAAATTATCCCTAAAAAAAATCATGCGTATTGCTAAACTGCAAAACTAAGATTAGGCGTAATAGCATGCAGTTCTTAGTAACTGCACTTTATAATGGTCAACCAGCATCTCAAGGTTCATTTGATAAGGAAAATCTCAATATGAAGCAGTACCAACTATTGTAGAAAATTTCTTTTGCTAGATTACCAACCAAAGCACTCGTTGCAGATATTAAAACTGCTCACATATCAAGCATGCAAGAGAGCTACAAAGGAAACGAGAAACTGAACCGTAGTATCCTTCATCTCAACTTAGGAGTAGAGCAATGCATCATTTATGGACACCTTCAGTTTCATAGTACTCTACTTATTTGTCTAAGTGACATAAAGATCTAAATTAGAAGCTGCTTTTATTGCCAAATCACAAAAGTTGAAAACAAAGTGTTGGTGGAGGAGAGACACATAAAGCGAAGATAGCAGACTTACTCCCATAAGCTCCTGAAAGAAGAGGGAGACATGAATATTATGCTGGGTGCTTTGGAGCACTCTGAGAGTCGTAGAGATTTCGGGTATTGTAGGCATATAAAGGTTGTGGAGGATGAAGGGGCTATGTGTAGGATGAGTAAGGAAAGAGCGACTGGGCCGGACGAGATCCCGGTGGATTTTTGGAAAGAGCGTGAGTAAGGCGGGTATGAAGTGGCTTATTTGGTTGTTCAATGTCATTCTTAGGACGGCAAAGATGCCTGAAGAATGGAGGTGGAGTACAATGGTTCCGTTGTACAAGAACAAGGGCGATATTTAAAATTGCAACAACTATAGGGGTATTAAGCTGCTGAACCACACTATGAAAGCTTAGGAGAGGATAGTGGAGATGAGGGTGAGGAGGAGTGTGTCTATTTCTAAAAACCAGTTCGGATTCATGCCAGGGTGATCGACTATAGAAGTTATTCATCTCGTTAGGAGGTTGGTGGAGCAGTATAAGGAGAGGAAGAAGGATCTTCATATGGTGTTCGTTGACCTAGAAAAAGCATACGACGAGGCCCCAAGGGAGGTTCTACGAAAATGATTGAAGGCTAGAGAGGTACCTATTGCATACACTAGGGCGACTAAGGACATGTATGGTGGAGCTAAGACCCGGGAGAGGACAATGGGAGAAGATTCAGGACATGAGAATTCTTGACTGCCCAACACATTGCTCCATACAACATAGTCGGTCTAACAACCACTATATAAAGCTTACGTTTAAGTCTCAGTGGCATATTCTTATTGCACAAGAAATCGGATGCGATAGGAAGTGTGACATCATCGTCAATCTCCCCATACTTGAAACTTCCTCTTTTGGGGATGACTTGTGTATCAAACCTCACCTCCACGTCAGCCTCATGAGTCACGTCACTGAACCTGCACTCCAAGTATTCTGTCTAAGTCCTACTTAACCTGAAACCTTTAGACTTAAGAGTTTGCTTCCAAACCTCCAGCCTAGTGTTAACTCTGCCCCGTGTCTCATTAATCAGTACTATGTCATCTGCAAATAACATGCATCATGGCACCTCCCTTTGAATGTGTCACGTCAATTCATCCATCACCAAGGCAAATAGGAACAGCTGATCCCTGGTGCAACTCCATGTTTGGCCATACCAGGAGAGATATGATTAAAAATGAGGATATTCGGGACAAGGTGAGAATGGCCTTGGTGGCGGACAAGATGCAGGAAGGAGGTTGAGATGAGGTGTGAGAGATTGGTCGTGGGGGGTCTAAGGAGAGGTAGAGGCAGGCTGAAGAAGTACTAGGGAGAATTGATTCGACTGGATATGACATATCTTCAGCTTACCGAGTACATGACCCTTAAGGCCTTGATAGGACGGGTCGAGAATTAGGGTTGTAGATTATTAATAATAATAATAATAATAATAATAATAATAATAATAATTATTGCATTCTTTTATTCTAATATTTATAGTATAAACTATCTGTTGTTTCTTTTGTTTCAGCTATCTTGCTATTGTTACTGCTTCTTTTCTTTTCCATGCTTTCTTCGAGCCGAGGGTCTATCGGCAACAGCGTCTCTACCTTCACAAGGTAGGGATAATATGCGTACACACTACCCTCCCCAGACCCCATTAGTGGGATTATACTGGGTTTTTTTGTTGTTGTACAAAAGTAGAAAACAGAAACATAACTTAAAGACCTCAGGAAAACATTGTAGCATAGTTGGTATCAAGTATTGATTCTCTGTTTTATCGTCATTTAACATGAAACACCTTGTGCAAGAATTGATATCATTACATGGAGATCATAAATCCAATAACTGATCTAATATTTAAATTCAGAGGAATTGACACCAGATATACACATGATGCATGAGCTGAGCTGATCCTGGATGCATTGCTAGGTCATCGTCAATATAGACGCATTCTGAATTTTAACACCTTAAATGACAAGCATGTTATTGAAAGAAATGGGACTTCGCGCTAGTCAAGGTAATGTAAATGAATGATCATATGGATTAATGAAAGTCTCAGTCAAGCTGGGAAAGTACCATATAGACATTACCTTGTTTAGATAATTCAACTGTGTGATGACACAGATGACTGCAACAGCTAGAAAAAACCAAGTCTGCGGATAGGCAATCTGACTAATTCCTTCCAAAGTAAGTTTTATTGCAATTCCAATAGCCTTTATGCTGACAACCTGCAGAAATAATTTTTTGAACAAAAAGCTACAGAAACATCCTGACAGGCTAGCAAAACGTTCACATGTGCAAAACTGCATCTTGTCCAACAACAAGAATGTAGTGTACACATTCCAACAAAGAATAAAAGAAGATGACGGAAGTAGACTAGAATAAAAAAATAATTACCGTAAGTGCACCCATTAAGGAACATATTCCCAAATAGACCAGTACGTTCGTCTGCCCATAACGAGGCTCAAAATGCAACATCAAAGCTACTACTATGGATATTGTTGCTGCTACATAAATCAAAAATGCTGCTGACAAAAGAAGCAAGGAGAAATTAGTAATAAGCTCTGCAAAAGGGAGAAATATCTTATAACCTATAGCTAGATAAACAGGAATAATACCAAAAGTCCAGACCTGGTTGAATTGCCAAAATCCAGATTTCTTGCACAGAAGTCGGCATATGCTCCTGAGGTGCATGTACAACAATTACCACAGATCCTACAATGCACAATATGCATCCCACCACACCTAACAGTTGTAATCGTTCCCGCAACATAAAGTGCGCCAAGATAGCACTATTCAAATTAACCAAGGTTAGTTACGCAAACATCAGCAGGAGTTCCTTATCAGAATTTTAAAACAGCTAAAAGAACTTCAAAATCATACCTGATAATTATACTCAATGCACCAAGAGGGGTCACAAGAACCGCCGGAGCATAAATATAAGCCACAAAATTGGAAACCTCCCCAACAATCACTGCATACCCAAATCCAAATGACATTAAGACCAGAACAATGTAACACATTCCTGGAAAGAGGTTAACTTATGGAGACATCTCATGATCCACTTACTTGTGATCATGCCTGACCACCAAAGGGGTTCAAGCAAATAAGTATAACCTCCAATTCCTGCAGTGAAGATTACAACAACTGTTTAGCTAGGTGAATTGAAGTTGACAGAGTATTTAATGAGGAAAAAGGGTACTAAAAACGATGTTTGTTGTTCTGCTATCAATTAAGTACTAACCAGATAATTGGCACACTAGACTACGGTCTAAAAATAAAAAAACTATATTAACTTATAAGCAAAATATGATCAGCTAGAAGTACTGGCATAGATTACTCCATGTGAAACTCACAAGTATTTCAGGGACAAAAGCTTCAGCACCCACTAGAATGTCCAACCAAAGATGGTTCTTCTAGTATTATGTATGGGTTGGCAAGATCATGAATAAGAATAGAAACTATTGGAATATAAGCATTGGGTTGCAGTGTTTTAGCCGGCTAGAACTTGTCAATCTCCTACTCATGGCTTAAATTAAAGAAAATGACAACAGGAAGAAGAAGAAGAAACCTAAATGTGAAGAACCCAAATCGGCAATTCCCAACTAGTAAGTGCTACTAGAAGAAGACTGGATCTAATGGGGCTAGAAAGGTTGTCAACAGACTCAGCACGAAAAACATTGAGATGCATTAATTGCCTTTAGACCTCATATTAGTCATTTTAGCATTTCCCTATCCACATTCAAATAATGGGTTTCTAGATTTTCTCTTCTTTATTCATGTGACCATCTCCCACTTCATTTATGCATTCCAACACAGGCCTGAACTAAAATTGATCCCGAAGGATATTGTTTCCACCACCTAAATGATTAAAAATCCTGGTAAGCTTAGCTCTTGAGTAACTGCATGCCCTTAGCATATAGTCTATCAGATGGTGACTATAGACCCTATTAATGAACAACAAATTACACACCCTATAATACCTGATGAATCAAAGAAGAACCAACATAAATACAACAAATTGAACAGAACAATTCTCCCCTATGTTGAAATACAATGTAAAGAGCATGCCCAGGTATTAGATACATAAACTTGCAATGTTTACCAAATAGAGAATAGTATATTCCTTCACTAGTATAATTTCTCCTATGTGAGTTTCACAGAATGGTCAGCTTAAAGTAATTTGACTATAATGAATCTTTTGACTATTTGAACAGGCCTCAATAAAGCTGGAATGGATACCGAAGATTCATACAGTTGAAACCCAACTAATTTGGTATTGAAGGCGCTGTTGATTGATATATTTTCACTAATATCACACATAGCACTGTCAACAACACAATTTCACCTTTAATTACTGGATTTGTGCATCCACACAAGTAATTCAACTTCAGGCAAGCGAACAGATTGTGCCTTTTCAATTTGTAAGTTGTCTAATAAACGGAAGTAAAAATCTAAGACACACAGAGGGAGAGAGAGCATTTCAGACCTGCACGAGTTCCAGCAGCAGCAGCAGCAGCAGCACGTTTGAGACCTTTCTTTTTCAATATAAAACTCGTTCCAATGAACAAGCTTGATACTATTGCTAGAACTAATCCTCTACTATTCTCCGAAAACCCCATCCTCTCTCCCTGTCACTTCTTCTTACTTCTCCAATATTTATACACACAATCAAATACTCAATCTGTAAGAATAATTGCTTCACTTTACTCTTCTAACTTCTTCTTTATATATATACACGGTCAAAAACGCATTAAATACAGAATCTGAAAGAATAATTGTTCCTTCTAAAAAATTACAAAAACTGAGCAAGTTGCAAGAACTACTGTTTGTTGGGAATTGGGAGAGGGAGATCTGAAACAATTAAAGAACAAATAAAATAGTTTCAGAGAATTCTTGTTTCCTCCCTCTCCTAAAAACCCATAAAGTTAGTCTGTTTGTTGGAAGCTTCGGTAATATGGTCTTTCTTCCTCTGCTTCTTCAAATTTTCACTGTGACGCGGGGACTATTTAGTAAACGTGAAACACGGGAGCAATTTAACGCCGTTAAATCGAAGCTTTCAGGTTCTTTTGGAAATGCTGAGATTTAACGAGCCTAACAACCAGGAAGGCCACGTCACCAGACGACCAAACAGCGTGTGAGTTGGCCCGGCCGACCCTAATCAGCTGCATATTTCCTTTCTTCTCTATATTATATTATTAGGGATGAATGATACAGTTACCCACAAATACAAAATTATTTATCTTTGTTTATACATTTGTTTTTTTATCCATAAACTAATTACATTTCCTACCCATAATAATTTTCATGGAGAATTTTCTCTTTTTTCTCCAATTCTTCTTTATTTCTATGCTTTTTTTTCTCTTTCTTTTCTCCTTTTCTTTTTCCTCATTTTCTTCTTTTTTTCTTCTCTTTTTTCTTTTTCTAATTACATTTAACTTCTTTTTTTCATATTCTTTTTCTCTTTATAATCTATTTTTATTTTCTCACTATTTTTTATTGTTCTTTTTTTTATACAATAAGAAAACATAATTAATATAGTAAATATTTATTCACCTTTTTTAATATAACTAGTATAATATACCTTTTGTCTTTTTTCTCATTTTTTAAATTCAATTATTAAACTGAAATATATCAGTTGTCACTTGATCTAATTCACTGAATATTACAATGACTGCTGGTGAGCATCATAAATTACATAATTAGAGTCTAAAGTTCAACATGTGATTGTCATGCAAACCTTGATCTCCTTCCCGACAAATATCAGTACACACTCTACCATTAGCAGTAACACAATCAATTATGGAGCAGAAAAACATAATCTATGACCATCAAATCTCCATATATACTAGTTAGAATAGAAATGATAATAAAATATTAAAAAATGCAATAAAAGTATAAGCAACAAAAAAGACTGCTAGTATCATATGATACCAATATGGTATACATGTATATCAACAGAGTATATGATTGCTCTAGAATATTGCTACAACTATTTACGACTATACTACTGTACCAACTTCAAAGGATGCAATAAAAGTATGAGAAAATTACATGCTCGCATTGCAAGCTAAATATTCGCAAAGCAACTTGCTCATTCTATATACTAACAGGGTATATAATTGTGGGTCGTTCCAACAATTGCCTATAACTATAAAAGTTATTATATAATACACATAATCTATGTCCATCGACACAAAAAAGTTCCAGCACTGCAAATCATGTTCATATAAATAATTTCAGAATAGTAATCACTTAAAAATGTAGCTAAAACAACAAAAAAAATATTCAAACTACCATATGATACCAATGTGTTATATAACTATACCAACATGGTATACAACTTTATTGGTTAATTTCCGGCAATTATATGACTATACTACTATTACATAACACACATGCATAAAGAGGAAAAAAAAGTGTAGCACATATTAATAAAGTAAAGTATTTCATGATATTGTACTATATTACTAATATTAAAAGAAAATCAAATAGTGTACCAATTAAATGCAGCTAATACAACCAAAAAATAATTCAACTATCATATGATACCAATATAGTATATAACTATACTAATAGTATATATAGTTGTACGGGGTCGTTCCAACAACTGCACGTAACTATAAAAGCTATTACATAATACATAAAATCTATATCCATAGGTACAAGAAAATCTAACACAGCAAAACATGATCATATTAATCATTTCAGAATAGAATTCACTTAAAAATGTACCTAAAATAACCAAAAATATTTCAACTACCATATGATACCAATATGACATATAATTATACCAATAGGGTATACAATTCTACTAATTAATTCAGGCAACTATATATGACTATAATACTATTACATAATACACATGCATAAAGAGAAAAATAAAAAAATAGTGTACCACATATTAATATAAGAATGTATTTCAAGATATTGTACTATAATACTGTTATATAAAACAAACGCATAAAGAAAAAATTAAAATGATTACATAAAACACACGCATAAAGGAAAATTAAAAAAAAAAATCAAGATAGTATACTATTCTACTGTTACTAAAGAAAAATCAAATAGTGTACCAATCAAATGTAGCTAATACAACCAAAAAATGTTTCAACTAACATATGATACCAGTATAGTATATAGCTATACAAACAGAGTATACAATTGTACGCAAAGAGTTTAATTTTTTTAAATTCAATTATTAAACTGAAATAATATCAGTTGTCACATAATCTAATTAACTCAATGAGAGCTTATGCAATCAAACAACAAAACTTCAAAAAGGATTTTTAAATTCAAGAGTTTCAAGTTCAACAATGGTGCGTCTTCAAACACACACAAAAGTCCAGATCTGGAGTTTGAAAAAGAGTTTAATAAGAAATCTCTAAAAAAACAACTTTGAACACAACATCCAATTAAGTAATCCGGTATTTTTAGGTGATTAGTACGAGGATCACGCGTGACGTTGAATAAAAATCTCATATAGAGAAAGTCAAAATCTACCGAACTCAATGAGATTGAGAATTTTGAAAAGAAACTATTGAAACCCTAATTATTTTTTTTATAGATTTACTTTCTAGCTTTGTTTTTCTGTAATACATGAAAAAGAGAGGATAGAAAAAGTGGATTGATCAGAGATTATAGGGAGGTAAATAATCCAATTAGAGAAAGTGAAGAAAGAGAAAGGGAGAAGAAAAATATAGAGGAAAAGTACAAGGCAACTTTAAACTGCATAGTTGGAGTAGAAGAATAAATAAGAAAAATGGGTACACGGATAAATAGTTTTGGTCGGCTAGGTGTATAGTGTAACTATTTTGAGAGAAGGTTTAGTTGGTATATAGCATAAATTGCTCTATTAATATTGCTCCTCTCACTATTTTATTTTATTTTATTTTATCTGTTTAGATGGTAGTGTTCGAATCACCGTGCCTACACATTGAATATTTTATTGAATATCTTATCTCCTGTCATCACAGGTATTTGATACTTCTTTACTACTGTAATACTTGTGAGCAAATTTCTCAGGGTAATAGTTATAAACTCTTTTTTTTTAAAGGCAGCCCGGTGCACTAAGCTCTCATTATACGCGGGGTTCGAAGAAGGATCGAACATGAAAAATACTCATTTGTTGAAAATTAAAAAAAAAATCTATCTATAACATGAAAAGAAGGTACTATTAATAATATTTTTATTTAGGGTGGAAGGGGTGGGGTGGGGCGAGGGTTGGTGTTAGGTGTGGGGTGCGTTGGTGGGGGTTTGTGGGGATGGGAAATAGGGTGGGGAAGATTGAGAAGGGGTTTTGGAAAATATTTTCCCTTCTCTTGATATGGAAGCTGGATATGGAAGTTACACTGCCCAAATAAAATAAAATTCTTCATTTGGCAATGTCTCCATGATAGAATCCCTAGTCGTCAATATCTTCATCACATTGGTATTAATATTGATCTACAATGTACTATATATCGTAGAAAAGAAGAAAATATTACACGCATATTCCTAACTTGCCCTAAAGTTTATTATATTTGGAAATCATTAGGCATCAACGTCCAAAATATCATTAGACATAACCATTGGCTGATCAATTTAAAAGAATTGAACCTTATAACCAAGTCTCCAACAATGAATGAGGCAACCTATTTACTTTCCTTTTATGGGAGATTTGGACTAACGGTAACAAAAATAATTACAACAACACCAATTTCCCTTCATACTGAAAACTTTGATTGGTTAAGCTAGAGAATTCATTTTTCTAAACTCAAAGGGTGGCCCATTTCAATCAAAAATGACTGCTAACATAACTTGGCATAGCCACAAAAATATTGGTATAAACTCAACAATGATGGTGCATACAAAGTTGGTGCAAAAATATCAGGTCTAGGTGGAGTGATTAGAAATCACATGGGTAAGTGGATCGTTGGCTTCCAGATGCAGCACACGACGATTTCCCCGCTTCATACTGAGTTACAGGAAATTCGCGAGGATCTCCAAATTGCAGAAAAACTCCAACTCTTTCCCCTTGAAGTGGAGACTAACTCAACTAAAGCGATCAATGCAATACAGCATGGCCATTTAGTTTGTTCTAACATTTTTTATGCACGCCGATCATTAATGCACCAGCAGAAGGACCTCCTGCTACGACATAACTTCCGTGAAGGCAATCAAGTGGCGCATCTCCTAGCTAAAGACGCCAACAAAGAAAACTTCAAGCAACTTTCTCCGCACAATCCAAAATTCCATGCAACACCTCCTCTTTTTTTGAAGCAACAACTGTCTATGGAAGAAAATGGAGCCTGTCTTTTTGTAAAAACTTTAGCAACTAATGTTTGTAATATGCTTAGAACTCTAGGAAATCAAAAAATTACTTATGATAATCCACCAATGTGTGGTAATTTTCCTACTATGTGTAACAAACTGAACATCTTCTGGTGTTTATAATATATGTCTCGCTATTATACAAAAAATCTATATCAAAGTTTGTCACGAGTTGTAGGAGTATTAATAATAAATAGTTAAAATAGTGTGAGCTTGGCAAAATAATTAAAAATTAGCAACTATTTGATGCAGAGATAAAATCTAGATAAAATATCCTTAACCGAAAACACACACACAAAAAAAAAAGAATAATTAATATGCTGTATCAGTAGAACTCCTGCAGATTATGTTAAAATTCCAGCATATTATGTTAGAATTTCACGTGTAAAAAATTCGAGCTCCAGTATATTATGTTATGATTTTTTCAGATTTTAACTAAAGGTGTTTTTGTCCAAAATTTATTTTTGCATAAAAAGTTGGCTATATTTCAACTAATTTTAAAACTATAACTAATTTTTAATTAGCAATTGTAAATCACCCTAATTCTAAATTTCTTTCATAATATAAGAAGTATTTGTCGGCCAAGTCGTAAAGATGTCCTCTCGCAAAGGCGGACGCATGTTAAGCGAAACGGTGTCCCGCGACACCGATTTGTCAGAAATTTTACTTATAAATATATGTA